ACACACACACACACACACACACACACACACACACACACACACACACAGTAACGTCTGTCCTCACTCTTGATCCCCTTTCTCTCACGCAGATAACACTTAATAACCCATGAGTCATTTTCCCTCAAAAAAAGAAAAGTTATCAGCGAGTATTTGGCTGTAGCACTCAAACATAGATGACCTACTTACTTGATAGGATCAGTATGCTAGCAATGATCAGTTGAGGGAAACATACTGACTTATGTAAAGTGCCTACTCACATGCAAACAAAATAAATAAACTTTCTTGATTACCAGGATTTATCCAAGCAGTAGATCATGAATCTCTATGTTTGTGGCTCGCTCCCCAGTGATAAGTCCTTAATGTGTCACATATATCACAACACGCATTTGGTTTGAGCGCATGATAAAGACAAATAATTTGTTTTTTTTTGGGTCTCCTTGCATACAGCTACACATCCACATCCAGCTGCAGCGCTGACAGCAGGCCAACACCAAGGGAATCCCTGGCATTCAAACCTCCTGGAAACATTCCTCAAATTGTGTATTTGTGTGTGTGTGTGTGTGTGTGCACATGCGAGTGTGTTTTAAAGAATCGACAGAAGTAACATGTGGGCCCAATTAGAAAGTCGCCGTTTGTCCTGTGCTCTGATCCACTGGCTGAAATTTCAGTCGCAAAAAAACAGCACAACGGGAATTTTTGATCGCTTTCCAGGGGCGCTATAAAACACGACATCAAGTGAAAGCAACAATCAGCGGTGTCACGTCCTCGAAGCCACTAATGCAAAGCCTTTGTTAGTCATAGTTTGCGGTACAGTTTGTTAACTTTAAACAGAACTTATTCAAGAATCTTTAAACCACTACCGTTTAGAATTGTGTTTGCAGCTCTCAAAAACCACGACTGACACACGAGTCCAACCCAGATTTTTTAAGTTTACTTCAAGTTCAACCCTGCCAAAGAAAGACGTCCACCGGGAGTAGACCCAGCACATATTGCCCTCACTTTCTGAGACATAAATCAGCGTTTTTTCCAACAGGTGTTCGGTCTTTCAGCAAGGACTTAGTTAAAGTGGCTCAGTGCTTAATACGCAGTCCCCCCCCTTGAATCAAACATGAATAATGTTGGAAAACATTTTTGCCACACAACTCTCAAACAGAATGTGAGATGTTCACACCCGTCTCAGCACAAACGCTTTTCACTGACGGACTCCCATTCAACCCTCGGTGTGAAAGGACAATCACTACCACCCTGCTGCTGCATTATTATGCCTCATCAGTACTTCCCTCTCATCCGTCCTCAGGGGGAGAAAAAAAAAAGTCTGGTTAGTGAAATCATTCAAGGAGCCGGGAGGCTGTTCTTATGAATGACATTCTATACAACTAGGGGGGGACCTTCAATTAAGGAGCTGGGCGGTCCAGTGATCATGCTTAATAACCTATTCAAATAAACACAACAAAGACTCTCTAACTAGGCTGACACGGGAAGAAAGACAGGAAGACCTAGGTGCTGGTACCACGGACAACTGCTGGTCCATTCTCAAAAGGCTTACCGACTACAACGTGGCCTCTGCAGACTCAGTAGTAGTTCAAGATGGCCTGATGGAGCTAAAGGAGGATGAGCAAGATGCCACAAATGAGTAAAATACAATTACAAACATAAATCAAACTGTTCTTTTTTAGTAATTTAGACAATACAACATTGAAAAAATACTGATTTTAGTACAGAAGTTGAGAGTTTGGGCCCGTCTTGTGTGCCGAGATTGGAAAAGAAGCCCTCATGAGATCAGACCTGGGAGCAGTTCCAGGAAGCAGGACACACTTGCCGAGTACCAGAACCCCCTCATATCTAGATGGATCAGCGAACGCCTGGCTGCCTTTCAGCTCAATGTACAGTCACAGCGGCTCTGCTCTGAGGATCTCAGGCTGTACTCTCAAAAATGCAAAAATCCCTCTCATTCCTTCAGTGCAATTTTTGATTGAAGAAGTGTGAAGATTGAGGGGCGGCGCTTCAACCAAGAAATTCAAGTCCCAGCTCTTCATCACCAAGCAGCCCCTGTATTGCACTGCACACCACGTATGTGACGACAAGTGAGAATATGAGAGCTTTGACATGGGGTTACGTGGACCACGTCTTTCACTTGTAAATCACTGTGGGCCCGTCAAGGCCTCCATCCATCTCCGAGACGCCGGTTGCCACGCTGACCTGCTCTGCTGCCGTGAACCCTCCTCGCATGCAGCTGCTCCACCTGCGAATAGTTCCCTGTACGCTCCTCTCCGGCCAGGGGCAACACCCAGTGCTAACGTGCCAGGGGAGCATTTCCAGAGCCTCAATAAGAGCTAAGTAAACCAGCCTCCACATCTGGGAGAGAAGTAACACTGGTAAACACCGGGGCCACGGCCTGCCCACAAAGCCAGGCCCTTGTTTCCCCTTAATGATGATAGCCCTGGATTTCTGCACTGCTGCCTGTCACACTCACTTAGACTCATCGCTGTGCTCTCACTCAAAGCCACACGCTCACAAATATGCCCTCACACCTTTACGCACGGCAAAGGGTCACAGCTTCTGCAGTCACACAGGACTAGAGCTGCTTTAAAGAAAGCAGAAGACGGCTAAACCACTGTTTTCTGAAGCAAACAGATTGTAAATAAGAGTGTGTGTGATGTCTTGTTATCTCCAGCAGTGCATGTTGCTCTGGTCAGAATCACTGCATAGAAATAAAGGGCTGCAACTGGACTACATCCAGTATAAGATGTGTCACAGCCGGGAGGCTACACTACCCATTGCAGAGGCATAATCTGGACTAGAGGACTCCCTGCTGGTGACAGAATGACAGCAAAGACAAGTCTTTGGCATCAGTGGGACGATTCTGAGTAAATGGTGGAGTAATCATAATATTCAGGTGGTGCGTCTATAAAAGTCATTAAATATGCCATGCCCAAAAATCATTTCACCCGACGAGATAAATAGATTGTTTTGGTTGTTTCTGGATGTTACGGTAGAGGAGACAATTTAAAATTCCCCACTTTTCCTGGTACGTCATATGGAATAATGAAATAAAATGCGCAAAATGAATTATGTACAGCTAGAAACAGACTTGGGTACAGCATATATATTTCATATCATTACTTTTAAACACAGCAGGCCTCCTGTTTTACGGTTTAGGCTTACAGTATTTACAATACTGCAGCTACGACCTAATAATATCACAACATATAAGGTCACAACACGTTTTTACACTCACCCATCATTGGAGCACGTCATGAACTCTTCTTTAGTCTTGGGATGCCAGCAGCCACTGTTAAGCATAGCTGTGTGACCCTGAAAAGAGCACAAAGTGAAAATTAAAACCTGCACTAAATGGTTCCTGGCCAGGTCTGGTGGCTAGCGTCCAGCGGCTTTGAGGAGCAGCAGACAGCACCTGTGAATCATGCGGTTCGCTGTGGATCTAGTCGGCGAACTGACATTCAGGGCTGCCATCTGCCCGACTGTTTTAAAATTCATGTGAAACGGCTGTAACAGTTGTAGCCAGGAAGAGCGGGAGGAAACATAAAAAAAAAAAAAAAAAAAAAGGTGAAACGTCTCCAGGAGGAACCGATGAAGGTGCATTCATGAAGACGTATTTTGCAATCTTACTGCACACACAACTTATGTGCAGAGACAGCTGTTGTTCTTCGTTGTTAAGTCTCGAGCCAAAACTGTCACGCTAAAGGTCACCAGTGAATCATGTCTGGGAGCTACCACGTTTATTGTGACGATGCTTTTACTGAGTTGTGTAGTGTAAACTGCATGGCAACTGGGAGGCCTGTATCCACAGAGACAGAGTTCCCGGTAGGCACCAATTATATGTTGCCAGATCTGAAAGCACCTTGAAGGGCCCCCGTCTAGAAGAAAGGATCTTTTTGGACCTTTAATTTGATCAAATTGTAACCTTGACTTTTAGCCTTCCTCGACATAGACCTTTGCCCTACAGCTGAACTGTGACTGTGTCACAGCTTCAAACAGCGAGCTCCTAGAATAGGAACTTTTAGACATTTCCTCTGCCGGTGTAGTCCTGTGGTGAACTAGTCATAACAAAAACGACTTCAAGGAACACTTCGGTGAGCTGCAAAGAGGCTTCACACATGACATACCGCTGTTTGACAGGATGCTCAAGAAAAGCAGAACCTTGCCCGAGCAGAGGTTGACCAAACTGCATCGGTATGTGTGCATCAGGAAGAGAGAGGCCTGCCTGTTCACCGTTTAAACACACCACTTTAATAATCGATAAAAGGCAGAGGGCTCGCTGTTTAACGACTAAAAGAAGGATAAATAACAAATTGCTGAGTTGTTAAATTTGATGGTAAATACACATCTGCTATATGATGGCGTTGAAGCTGAAATGGGCTGTGAATGACTGCTTCCCTGCTCTGTGCAGTGACATCAAAGTAGAGAGAATCGTGCATTACAAGAGCTTCATGATGAGGGGGAAGGGGCCGCTATCGTCCTAAACAAATGGGATTCCAGTGTAGAACAACAAATTGCTGGTGACTAAAGAGAAACAGATTGGAGTTCATACACACAGTTCACAAAAATAGAGCCGGTTAATGACAAACTGCACCAAGAACAGAAGCCTCCCTGATAACAACAAGTGATTCTTTCCAGTTTGTTTTCATTACAGTTGCATGACGCATAGGATAAACAGCTTTCTGTAGCTATTTAGGTTTAGGTTTAGTTAATTGTAAAAACTGAAGCTGGATAGTGAAATCAACAAAACAGGTTGTTTTGATTATCTAGCAGATGATTCAGAAAAGTTTAATTCATTTATGAAGCAAGAATGCCCAAAAATCTCTGGTTCCAGCTTTTCAGATGTGAAGATTTGCTCCTTTTCTCTGTTTTTGGGGGTCTGGAAAATGGGCTGTGGATGTTTAACTATTCTTCTGTATCCTAAAGAAAAAGCTATTATAGAAAAAAAAAAACATATCATGCCATTCCACAGCATTGGCCTCTGTGGAGCAAATCTCTCTGCACAAAGAGGGACGAGGTACAGGGAAAGTAATTGTCTGTCAAAAGAGTAGAAGCACGGACTTAATTATCACATGAGCCACAGCTAATCGACTGGGACGTCGTCGGCGGGCCAAAATGCATTTTCGTTGAACCACACTCTCTCATCAGCTCCAGATGGGACCGAGGAGGACGAGAATGTAGGACATCCAAATGCTCTGCAGCTGGCACAGATGGTAAGTGACCACCAATACGGCGTTCTTAAACACAGTAAAACCCAAACATGGGCCATTCATTAGGATTCTCCTTTGTAGAGGCAGGTACAAGCAAGAGATGAACCACGGCAGTCCTGAAAGTATGTGGTGGTCCTCTCCCCCGGAGACTGCCTCCGGCCGGTCAATATGGTTACGAACAGACCAGCTCACAGCTGCACCTTGCCACTATTATGCGTTGGCAGGAACCACCCGCAGAACATTAGAGCAGAGCATCCAGCCTGTGTTTAGAATTAGCAGTCGCTCTCGGGCCGCTTTCTCAATAAAAGAGAAAGCATGAATGCCTGCGACATATTTAAAGTGGCGATATTCAATATTTGTTTAACAACTTATCAAATGACGCTGTAAAAACAATGTGGAAAGGGTCGCTCGAGGTGATGAACAAACCTGAATCTGCAGCTCCTCTCGGCTTTAAAGAGTTTTATGGTTTCAGCTTATTGTTTAGCAGTCAGTTTTGAGATTAATTCCAGTTTATTACAACTTGGGTTGTATTTTTTATAGTTTTGGATATCAATTTGATCAGTTATTATAACATGAGAAGTAGTGAAATCTAGGGACTAGTTTGTCAAACTTGTTTGAAGGAGAAAATGGAGGGAAACTATTATTGCTGAAACTGTCGGTCGTAAAAATCCATCTCAGTTTATAGACTTCTTGACTTTGACTCACTGTACTTGCAGTAGTTGTATGCTTTCATTCTCTTCAAAAAGTGGTCCAGAATCTGGTTAAATTGATTACAACATGTCTGACCATCTGACCACTCGGGTTTATTACCTTGACGCTGCGTTACCAAATTTCAGCAATTACTAGGCGAGTACAATGTTATTATGACTGAGCGACACGATGGCCAACACGACCCGAACTACACACAAACACCACTTTACCTTGGTTTTGGCCATGTCCACAATGTACTGGTCTCCCTTCACACACTCCATGACATTGAAGCCATCGCGGTCCAACACCTTGGCTTGTGCATTGCCAGAAACCACCAGGATGACGTCACCAGTGTTGCTGTACTGCAGGGACGTGATCTGATGGCTGAGGGAACACACACACACGCACACACACACGCACACGCACACACACGAAGAGGACATCTGAGACAAAGAAGGTACTTATTGTTTGCATTTCTGTGGTGCTGATGAGTTTTAATAAGTGTCTTGGTGGTTTGCGAACGATCTGCAAGCTGTGATTTTACAAAACCTCTGCACCAAAACATTGTTATACAAGAAGCAAAAAAATATATTCAAAAATAGATAAGTGTAGCTATAGGAACAAAACAAAACAACATCTGATGTACATGTGATGATTTTCCTCTTTGATCTACCACATGCAACTGTAACAGTAAACATATTGGCATTTTAAGCCAAGAAATGGAAAGAATGATAACACTCTCTTTGAAAAAAACGTTATACACAACAAACTAAATTAAACACACTGAAAGAAAATAAACACAACACGACAATATAAAGAGAAACAGAATAAGCTATGCATGTAACAACTTTATAAGAATCAGTCATTCCGTGCTTTTCAGAATGGATGTGCGATTTTTATGTTTACACTGAATAACAGAAATACACATACAACAGTAGAGACAGACAACTACGTGGAGTACTTAACAAGAGTGAGATTAGCAATTCAGGTCAGTGGCAAATAGCATTAACACAGCAGGGGGTAGATGGGGCGCCAACATTTCTATACACAGAGAAAAAGAAGTTCCATTGCTGAAATGAAAGTGTGGATAACACCAATGTTGTTTTGAAATCGGGGGCTTTGGCATCTTCAAAACGCTCACTACAGAGCACCAAATGATCATTTCCCACATTGTTTTTAATTTGACTGAGCTCACACGTTGCCTTTTTTGGACAGGGAAGAGGAACAGTGGACCTCAGCAGCACAGCTCTCTATATGAAGCCCAGCTTGTTAGTAAACCAAACAGGTTACTGGATCACGTTGTATTCAAAATAAATGTAGCGTAAATTGCAGTTAATAAGGGAAAATGTGCTCCAGCTCAGCTGCCTGGTTCCCAAAGCCAAAAAGGAATTTGAACTTTGATGATGGTTTCAGTGAATCACAGAATAAACACACGCAGACACACAAACAGCCGCATATCTTCACCATCTGCTCCTGAAAGACTCATTTTGAGCAAATAGAGAGGATGTCACCTGGTTAACATGAGGCCCAACGAAGCTCAACAAACGTGTGTGTGTTTATGTATGTGTGTACACTTTGGCACACGTAAATGCCAGTTGAGTGGACTGGATGTTTGCACGAAACTAATTAAGCACATGTTAAGCAACTGTGTTGATGTTCCACCGTGTGTTCTCGGAAGTGGGACTCACCACTCGCAGGGCTGGAGAGATCTGAAGGCCTGCACACCCTGGTCCATCCCGGCAAAATCCCAGAAACGCACATCGTAATCATACCCGCCGGTCACCAGACGGGCTCCAGAGGGGTCCAAGGCGAGCGCCGATACCTGAGAAGACAACGAACGTATTCAAAAGTAACACACGATCTAGCCGGTAAGATTCAGAGGCCATCCAAGTGGAGGAGGTTGCTTCTGCTGCTAGGAATATTTGACAGTGTAGTCATACTTTCGGCTACAAAAAAATCATAGGGAACAGACTTCCGCTCTTATTGCTAAAATTCAGCAAAGTTAAGGAACCTTGGCTGAAAAAAAAGCTGATGCAGATCTCCAGATGTTTTAGAAGGTGCTTAATATAAACTAAATATGGTGTGGATTAGAAGACACGATCGATATAGACCTTCTTATTTTTCTTTCTAAAAGAGAGTCATTGAATACATTTCCATTGAGCCACATAAGAAGAAGGCCTTACTGTCTTGGTGCCGTGCTGCAGAGTGATCTCATGAGTGTCTGGAATCTTCTTCACTGGATTCTAGGACGGAAAGTTGAGGTGAATATAAGCAAACAGTACAAGACTGAAGAAGGCTGAATTAGGTGTGCAGTTATAGTGTGGAGTTTTGGACCAAGATTAAATTACACATGACATTTTAACTTTAATAGCCTGTTTGACTTAAAGGGTCTGGAGTCGCAGTAATAACCAGTAAATGACAGACTGGGAACAGTTACACTGGTGGATGTAAAAGGTTAGGATCTGAGTGTAAATACTCTTCATGTGAGAACCAATGATTCGCCATATTTCTGAATAATGTTGCGTTTAAGATTCTGATACGTTTCAGGTGGCTCAGATATTTTGGTGTGGGAAAGAAAAAGGAGAAAACACCTCAGAGACAACACTTTCATTACTATTCAGTAACATGTGATTAAAGGTGTCTCATCCTATATGGTGTAACACTTACCACCGAATTATTTTATTGTGCTGCCATCTAGTGGTGAAAGTTCAAAACAACCCACAACACAGAATAAACAGGTGCCTTTATAGGCCTTCTTCACTGAAGACACTGACATGGTGTAAAAAGGTGTAAATAATAAAATTGCATTTCACTGCTCTGGATCCAGGGTCCTGTATTGTGCAAGCTTTCGCTCTGTCATGGATTATTGATAGATTTGAATAAAACTGAGCTAACATTAATGTTATTAGTAACACTATTGCTTATCCTCCTTTTACAAGTGAAGATGTCTGATGTGAAAAAGGCTTATTTGAGGCCGCGGGGAGATGGATCGGATGTTTTTAAACAGAATAAATAAAAACTCATTCAGGAAATATTTTGTAATCCACCTATAAAGTCTACTGCTAAGTGAGTTATTTCAGACATACATCATCGTCATCATCTTGTGCCTCCCCATCATCATCATCTTCTTCTTCATCAGTCTGAGCCGTGCTGCCTGATGCACGAGTCAGTGGCCCATCCTCGTCATCATCGTCCTGGGCTGTGTGTTGCGGAGGCAGTGGAGGCCCAATAAGCTCAGAGTCTGAGTCTGAACCACTGTCGCTACTGCTCTCACTCTCCTGTTTTCTAAAAAGGATTTAAAAAAAAAAAAACATACTTGTGAGTTAAAACATATCTTACGCATGACTTACAGAGATGTAACTAACCTCTAAAGCAGTGGCAGCCTGATTCAACTGTAAACTCACTCAAACAATCAAAATACAAATCCTTGGTTACCCGGAAGTAGCAGCTGCAGCTTTGTCTCTCGGAGCGTGGAGCGATGACTTGACTGATTGGGAGCTTTCCCCTTCCTCATCCATCTGATCATCCTTCTGCCGCTCATCTAAAGAAGTAATTACAGTACACAGTTAACACGCACCCTGGTGACAGAACAAACAGCTCGTCGTGTTGGTGAACCTACCCAATACAAGCTGACTCCTCTCAATGGCTGTTCGACGGGTCTGCTCAAAAATGGCTTCCAGGTCAAATGTGCGGGCCTTCTTACCTGGATGGAAAAAAGGAACAATAACCGACAACCCATATTGTTAGTTTGTCATATAGGAAATTTAAAAAAACATGTGAAAGTATTGAGAATTTGTGCTGGACTATACATACCAAACCCTGAGAATCCCATGACAGATGCGATTTCTCCATCATCACTCATCTTGTCCGATGCTGCAAAAACAGCGAGCACATTATTTATCATATCCTGCGTTACCTTGTTTGTTATGAAACTGTAATAACAAATTGCTTTAAATACAAGATGCAACTTTGTTGGTTTTGTGTTTCCTTTGTAAGCAAAGCAACTTCACAACACGTCCTGCCATGCCAAACAATGGCATAACGATAACGTCCACTGAGCTGAACATATTGAACCTAGGCTGTTAGCTGACAATACTGTAGCATTTCAGCTTCAACGAGAAGAATATCTTTAACACTGGCAATAGCAAAAAATATGTATTGTTTGAAGGACAGACAGCTTTTCAGGACAATTAAAGCTGTGACTAGTTACATGTATATGGCTTTTAAAATGAACGTTACAAGTGGCAGATAACCAAGGCTAACAAATAAGCTAGCAAAACCAGCAACGAAGAATGTATCTTCTCACATAACGTTACTGGAGTAAGGTATCTAAATGATAAATGTAATACAAATTACAAATAAAGCCAAATATTCCTGCACATACACGTAAGTCGTGTAAGACAAATATACAAAGCTTTAATAAGTGACAGCAAAACGTTGCTACCTTCATCCACTTTGTTGGGATCCATGTTTTCAAACACGAAGATTACCTTTGACCCCGGAAGTTATTTCTTCTTCTTCTTCTTCTACGCATGTTGCGGGACAGCTGACTCAGGGTGCTGCCTCCGAGTGACGACTCTTGCGTAGTGTCAGTTAATAGATAAACACGTGGTCTGTATCACTTTCTTTCAGTGTTAACTGCTGTGTGAGCGTGTTTTGTTCTCAGGCTGTATAATGAGGATATAGCGCTAACTTTACTATGTATACGTCCATGGTTTTAATGAGCACAAGACTGGTAAATAGCATGAGATCTGTCTCATGAAGAAGTTTAATGATCCAGTGCAAAATGCAATGTACAACACAATAAAACAACTCAAAAATCTATCGATCCAGTGGGCAGAGCTATACAGACAACAATGACAACTATGAAAATGAGAGAAACAGCTTTGAAATGCTTGAATACAGATATTTAATAGTTTGGACAAAAATAAATTATGTAGAAAACGTTACACACAAATGGCACAAACCTAAAGATTCAAGCAAAAGAGATCACTGCAGATTTCAGTGCATCAAATATTCTATTACAATTTTTATATGAAAATTAAATTGATACCAAATATAATATATTTAAGGCCTACTTTAACAATAAAAAAATCTATCCGTCATGACATATTTAATATCACTGCTGATCATATCTAATTTATTAAAAATATCTACATTTATATTATTTTACTTTAAATGCTTCTGAATTACAGTATATAAAATAGGCACATAACACCTTGGAAGTGTTTTTTTAATAATATACCATCTACTTAAGCTCACGGGTCCTCTGCAGCCACCAGCCTCTCGATAGCTTCCCAGTCTATTTTGCTGACGCTGCTACCGGTGCTCTCAGAAAGGTTGTCCAGCCAGTCCATCGCTGACAAACCAGCTCTGGCACCATCATCCTGCTCATCCACAAGTCCAGCTAAATCCTGAGAAGCGTACACAAAATATATGAAACTGGATATGAAACCACATCATCTATCAACAAAGACGTGTGGTGTTTTTTTCAAGTGTTTTTGATCTACTGTAGTTACATTTGTCTCAGATATAAGCTAATCTGTGCTGAATGTGATTCTTACTATGTAAGACTCCTCCGGCTCCAGCAGCCTATTCAATTCTGAAGTGGGCTCCCGACGGTTCACATCTTCTCTCTCTTCCATCCTCGCCTGGTCCCTCAGGATGCCTCTTCCGACAACAGTCCCTCTTGAAGGACCTTTGTTCAGGCCCGTCACTCTCTGCTGTGCGACATGCCGTTCCTCACTCTGGCTGGCTGTGTGCAGTGTAGAGTGGCTCTTTGTGTGTGTGAGCATGCCACGCCTGGTCACCTGAGACAGACGGTCCCTTGGCAGGGAGGTAACTAACACAAAATTCACAAAACACAAACAAAGTGTCGTGAATATAATATTATTGTTTTGAGGAAAGTCATTTTCTACAGGACACTAACGTAGCTGAGTATCACTATGATACCTGGTCTGTGTAGTCCCAGTCTCCTGCGGTGATCTTCTGAGGGCTGTCCCTGCATCTCAGCAGTCCATGGACGAAGGTGAGGTTGTGCTTGTCCTGACTTAAGTCTTATTTTATCGTTGGCAGATACACTGTAAGAAAAAGATATTACCTCCATAACTTGCTAATCCAGATGTGTAAAATCAACAGGTTTGGTTCGGTACAAAATCTGATCACTGTGGAATAAGGAATGAATGATTAATGGTTTGTTCAAATGCTAGATCAGAGTGCAATTATTCTTTAATGAGACAGAATCCTGGTCAGATTACTGTTGCTGGAGATACCTGTGAGTGCTACCAGAGGGTGGCGCGGAGGTGGGTCGTGTAGTTAAGACCACTGGTGAAGTGCGTAGGGTTGGACGACTGGTGAGGAAGTCACTGGCCAAAGAATAGGCTTCACGGGTCCTCTGGTTGTATTGCTCCAGAAGCATGAACCTATTAAATCAAATGGAAACAAAAGTTATGCATATACTCATGCATGTTTCTTGTGCAAGGACAATGTAAACAAGTACATACTTTTCCTTCTCCTCCCTGGTTCTCCAAACGGTTGCTTGATTCTTGTTTGTTGATTTCTGAAGGGGCACGAACAACAATGTGGAAATAATATTTTTTTTAAATAGCTTACAATGAATCATCATCTCGAGTAAAGATGGAAACATATCTCACCACCGTTCCAGAGGTAGAAAAGGGTTTGTGCTCCCTCTCCCTCAGGCTCTCTCTGTGTTTTTGATAAACAGCCAGTCTTTCCCTCTGTTTCCTCCTCATCCAGATCCTCAGCTCTCTCCTCTCGTCCTCTGGAAGGACACGTTTCTGCGACATCCAGCCACTTTGCTGCTGGTCCAGCCTGCTATGGGTCACACTACTTTTCAGCTCAGTGATAAATAATAGTCATTTGGACAGCACTGAATTTTAGTAAGCACCTTACCTGCTACGGTTTGCAGTCTGTGAATTGGACAGATCCAGGTCAGTCGGGGATAAATAACCTTCCCTGACCAACTCGTCTAAGATTTCTGCTGTATCGGATAGCCCGGTCTGACCCAGATTCTCATCTGCCCAGCTAGACATCGACAGGTAGAGGGCAGAGTATTGTGAAATAGAAAAAAACAAAAGTGTTGTAAGCAAATCCACGACATATAATGTGAGTCATAACATGGTTAAGATTTACTTAAACCTACACAGGAGATATTCCAGATGCTTCTGTCAGCTGATTTTTCATTTCTGTGGAAGCAACACAAACAGATGAAATAGTAACTTTTAACATTATGACTCTACTGAGAAAATAACCATGTATCCAACCATACAAAAATAAAATCATCCTTTTTAATATCTATTCATCAACTAAAATGCAGTTGCAGAAAATGTTTGATTCAATTGCATCTTTACTTGGAGGGGTGTGAAGGTAGGAGGGACCAGCGTTGTGACTGTAAGAAGAAGTAGAATAACGAAAAGATGGCTTCCCTTCAGAAGCCCAGGAATCGTTGTGAAGCACACTTTCTTCTTCCTGATTTTCTTCTTCTTCTTCAAAGGCATTTGGTTCAGTCAAAGTGTCCAGTCGTGGTAACCATGCTGTTAGAGACAGATAACATACAACAGACTTAGTTATTTTTTGTTTCTTGGTTTCAAGGACTAGCAATGCAGTTTAAAATACAATGCAGTTTTTGCTATTATTACAGATGAATAGTTTTACCTTCCCGTGGGACAGACAGTCTGACAGTTTTTTTTACTGCCGTGGTAGTCTTTACGTCCGGAGCCAAGACTGGCGTGAGCTTTTCAATAGTGTTCACCAGCTACACAAAGAACGACATATTACATTTGTCAGCCTTTGATGACAATTTGTAAATGTGGGCGTCATTAATAATATAAGCAGGATAAATAATGAAAATCAACATGCTTACGTACCATCCTGGAGTTGCAGAAGTCTATCTCCAGATTGTCTGCAATGTTCTGTAGAGCAGCCAGCTGAGTGTCCAGCTCTGACAGTCGGGAGGAGAACCAGACAGTAGGAGGTGTTGATGAGGCACCGTGTGGTCCAACGCTCTGGGTCTTTATGGCTTGACAGATTTTAGAGTCAGATAGTTCTACCATCTCTTGTTGAACGATTCTTTCTGGATCCCAGACCCCCTCAATGTGGCTGAGTGACGGCGACTCCTCTGGGATATCTAGAGTGTACAGGACAACAGATATTTCGACCAAATTATACCCGTAGTATTACGCTTCACTGATCGTATTCAGGATAAAGACATAACCGCGGTAGACGTCAATATAAAGATATATAAATACCTGTGTGTGACCTCCAGTCGAGATCCTCTTGAATTGCGACAAATGCTTGTGGATCAGCAGCAGCATCACTCCTAACAACAGAAATAGCGAGTACATGCAGCTGAGCAGAAGTAGGTGAAGAAGGGCGGATGGAGGGAACATCTTGTGCTCCTGGGCTGAGATAGGATGGCAAGTCGTGATGCAGGGCTTTGTCTTCTAGATCCAAGACACTTATGAACTGCCGTCCATCCAGACCCTGAGGGACAAAGACATGAACGTATGGAGACCATGGTCACTACATGAGATGGAGATCAGTTTGTACTTATTATACTGCTTTCAACACACAGAATAGTAGGCACATGTACTGTGTGTTGTATTCAGTACATCATTTCAGTAAGTGGAATGAAGGACTTGTTCAGACACAGCTTTAGCGACTAGAAGCACCATTCACAGTGTCTGCTTTGTCCACCTTGTATGTCTCTTACCAGATTCTTCTCTTGCTCCTGTGGGCTCTCTTCTGTGTCTCGAACGAGGCCCTCGCTGCAAAACTGCTGATTCCCTGAACTTTGTGCTGGATGGAGAAAACACAGACATACACAAAGACATAATGTTTAACTCTTCATTGTGTCCACAACAAATAAAAAGCTGTGTGTCGACCTTGTAGCCGGAATTTCAAGTCAACTTACGTTTAGGGCTACTAGCAGTCACAGAGGCACACACAGCTTTATCCACAAGTGTGGGAGGACAAGCTGAAAGAAAAGTAATTAACATGTTACATGCGCAGCATCTGTTTTTGGAAAACATGCACTTAAAACAACCCAGGCAGAACGGAGAAATCCAATGTATACTATTATTTTTCATTGATCAAAAAATAAAGAATCTAAAAGACACATAAAAGCATTCTCGTTCAACTACGAATAAAAGCTACACCTGTGTAATAACATTACAACAATGCAACACTATTACAATTTTAACTGGGTACAAAGGTAACCCAAGCTGTAACTCACCCGGGTCTGTATTGGTGAAGGCATCATGGCACTCTGGGGGTCTTTTACATGTGGAAGCGAAGGCATGCAGCTCAGCTGACGTGGATATGGACCTGTCCAATAATCTCTGCCCACTCAGCAAAGAATCAAAGGACCCTGTGAGTTAAAGGTAAGAAAAAAA